AGGGTTCCCTGTGATTTGCACGGCAGAGCAGTTCCTTTAAAAGGCAGGGCATGGAGCAGCCCTTTCCTTCCTGGCTCAAGAACTCGCAGGTGCTGAGCTCCTTTGTCGCAAGCTTCCGTCTCCTTCGACTTCCAGCCGCTGAATTTTGATGTATATTGCACAAGGCAACGATTTAATGACTCCATGGCGTCCCGCTTTCTCTGTCTCTTGCCTCGCCAGCTCTCTTTTATCTGACAACCTTCCTGAAATGTCTCAAAGCCACGGACACATTTCACGTTGTGTGCGTCTCCCTGATGCGCTGCTTTGGAGATGGGGGTGGCTGATGGGCACTGATGCAGTTATTCCTCCTGGCCGTGCACCGTGGCTAATGCACTCTCCTTGGCTGCTTTGTCACTGCAGCTGGTTTGGTGGGAGGGGAGGGGAGGGGAGCAGAGCGGAGCGGAAAATTCTCCAAGGACCAGCCTCACAGCCATGCCTCAGAGTCCGGGTTGCTGGTCTGAAATCCAAGCATGTGAGCATCCCTTCCTCTTCTCCGCCCCAAATCTCCCATCCATTAGCTTCATGGGATGATGCCTTTGGGATCCAGTATGATGAGGGAGGGATAAAAATGCCTCCCTAAATATGCATCAAATAAATAAAATAGGACAGCATTTGAGTAAAATCGGATGAGGAGGGAAGAGGAAAACAGAGCAGGGAGACTTCCGGCAGAGCTGATGGAGTAGTTCCGCTTATGCACAGATTTCCCTGGCAAGTGGGCAGCCCAGACGGAGCAGGGCCAAGCTCTCCCTTCTGTGCACCTGCGACCCTTGTTCTTTCTCAAATTGGGCATTGTCTTATCTTTCTTACTGGATCTCTACTATATTAAGCATATTCCACACTGCATCAGCATTTAGAAGTCAATGCACTGCCATTTAAAATTTCTCGAAATATACGAACACACATTTCTTTAGTACTTTTGCTCCAGTCCAGAAGGCTAGGCCCCAGAGCTGGTGCGGGGAGACAGTGGCTTGTTTATTTCCCTGCTTGCAATATCCTGGAGGGGTGGAGTTACTGGTTACTGGGGATCAGGGTGCCCTAACGGTGAGAGTATTAGGTTAGGACTTGGGAGATCCCAGTTCAAGCCCCCACTCAGCTACAAAGCTCACTGGGTGACTTTGGCCTAGCCTACCTCACAGGGTTGTTGTGAAGATGAGACCGAGGAGGTGCCACTGCACTGCTTCCTATGCCGCCCAGGCTGGAGAGGCAGTGTGCCATAGTGGAGAGTCCAATGGCCTCCCAAATTGCCTGGAGGGCTCTACAATGCTTGAGAGCCACTTCCCTCCTCTGGGCTTCCACAACTGAATGTCCTGGCCTTCCTGGGCCAGCATGGAAACAAGACCTCCAACTGCCTCTCCAGGGCTGAAAACCGGCTTCCGGAAAGGGATGTGCCAAGAGGGGTCAGCAAGAGAGAGGTTTTAGTAATCGCAGTGGTTACAAACTCCATTTCAAAAAGAAATGCCGCTGATTGCATTTCAAAATGCCAAGCATCTGATGGATGACTGCTTTGCTCTTCAGACATGCCCACGTTAATGGTACGTGTGCTGTATTATAACAGCCTGGAGAAAGGCATGGATCAGGACTGCTTTTCGGTGGAGAAATCGGGAACATGCCCGGAGAACTGGGTGTGGGGTGCTTTGCACGAAGCCAAGCTCTGCTCCAGGCAGAGGCAAAACAGCCACCCGACGGAGCGTGCAAAGGGTCGCGGCTGCTCTCTCTTGCCTCCAAGTGCTGAGCTGCTCCATTATTGAAGAGCAGAGCGCATAAAAAATTCAGCAAGGCTTGAATGCCAGGAGGAGCTGATCGCAAAAGGGCACCAGGAATCTCTCTGCCTCCAGCTTAGCAGCTGCCCCAGAACTGCCCCACTGAAATCAGGCAGAAAGACACCTCCCCCCCGCCCCCGCCCGGCCCTGCCCAGCCACGTTTTTGCAAGAGTGTAAAACAGCCACGTCAGCCAGCAGGTGCGCTTTGGCCCTTTGATGCTCTGGATTTCGAGGCCTTTATGGTGGCGTCCTTTGGATAACCCGCATCATTCAGTTGCAGGGCTCACAACAAACTTTTGCTCTTCCCTGCCTGCCTCGCCATGCTTCCCGGATGCTCCTTCTTTCCCGGCGTGTTAGGAAAAATAGTTGGTCAACCCGGAGTTGCCTGAGGGACTCCTCATCCACTGCAGCTTTCATTTGAGCTTTTGAGGAGCTCCACCCCATTCAAGCCCCTGAACAGAATGTTTAAAATGAGAAGAAAAGGAAGGCTGCTGCGGGAAGAAGCATCGGCCCTGCTGGGCCCCGATAGTCCAGCTAGGGATGTCCTGAAATTCCCCATGGACTTAAAGGATCTCATGTTTGTAAGAATCCAGCACATGTGTTGAGCAGTGGACTGGCTTTTCCTGCAGCCCGCGGTGCTGGGGCTGCCAGATGGGCATGACTTTGCGTAAGGGGGGTTCTGGTGCTCTCCCCTTCCTCCCACTCCAAGGACCCCACTAAGTACAAGGTAGTCCCCTCTTTGTACACCAGTCTTTAATTAATAACCACGAGGACTAGCATCTTACTTTTGTTTTAGGGAAAGAAACCCCACCAGTCCTTGGGTTCCTACTCTGGCTGCAGAAGGTTCCCTGCTCAGACCCAGCCAGGGCTGGAGGCTCCCGCTCAGGAGCATGGGGAGCTGTTGCTGCCGGCCCGTGTCAGCAGTGCAGGCCTGGAGGGACCAAGCAGGGACGGATGTCACAGTTCCGTGTGCCTGCTAGGATCCACGCGTGGATCAGGCGCTGAGGGCCTGTGAGATCCTTTCAGTCCCGATACTGAGCCCCAGTCCCTGGCCTCGGGCTCTTCCATGCTGCTGGCTGCCTTTGCTCGAGTCCGGCTGGACGATCCCGAGCTTCCAGGCAGGCAATCCAGGGAGGCCTGGGAGGGAGCCTTCGGTGTCCACGCGGCCTGCTGTCCCTGCCCAGCTGGTCCCTGCGGCACTCCAGGCACGCGCTTCTTTTGAAGTGGGATGACTGAGAATTGCTGATGCCCTCATTACCGGCTCAGCGTGAGCACCCAGCTCCATGCAGGGTACGGCTTGGCATGCATGCTTACGGTTCCCTCGAGGTGCACTTTTGCATGGAGGGCTGTCTTACTCTGGCCCCAAAAAGGCGATCGTTTTTTTGTCACAGCTGTAATCAGGGTTGGAGAAGACGCCCTCCCTGAACTCTCATCCTGCTCGCAAGTTTCTTCTCCTGTCATCTCCAAGCTCTGATGGGGGATAACAGGGCACCAAACAGCAATTAACCTTCAGCAGCCCTGCCAAGAAATGAATCTTTGCACAGGGTTGGGCCCCAATCCCAGGAGGAAGGAGAGCTCCTCACATGTGAACGGGCATGATGGCCTTGCAATGCCCCTTGAGAATCTCATGGAGTGTTTTGTTCCTCCTTGCTTCTCAGTGGACTCTCAGGAGCCTCGTCCTCCTTACTTCAGAGGTGGTTCAAGCAGCCATAGCCCCAACTGGCAACACCGATGCTTTGGGCCTCGCTCACTAATGCATTGACATTTCCTCCCACCTGGATCGGGATGTTGCCCCTCTGCCCCCCCCCCCCCCCCCTTCGACACATGCCTCCTTGTCCAGCCATCCCCTCCGGGTCCCTGGAGACAATCCACCCCCTCCGTCCCGCAGCCCCTGGTGGGCGATCCGGCACAGCAGGCTGGCCAGCTTAGCTGCTTGCAGGTGCTGCTGCTCATGGACATTTTCCGCTGCCTGAACAGAAAAGAGAAGCAAGATAATCTTTCCACAGCTTCTCCGCCTCTCTCTCCTCACCCCAGAAGTTTCAGTGATGCTATAAATCGAGGAGGCATCGACCCACCGCTCCCCGTGGCCGAGGAGCTAGGAAAGAGCCCTCTGGTGCGTGCTCAGCCCGGTGTCCAGCCCTCCTTGCCAGACCTGTAAGTCAAAGTCAATGAGCCGCAGGATCTGGGTGGATCGCCCAATAAATACACAGCCGCTCCTTTTGTGTCAGCCAGAAGGAAACCGAGCCGGGCTTTTGTCAAGGAGGCCAAGCACAAGGGGGCAGAGCAATGCCTGGGGAAGGGTCTCCTTTGACCCTGCCATGCCGTCCTAGGAGCTGGCGGGGGGAGCAGATGGTGACCTGCCGGCCTCAAGCTTTCTGTCTCCAACCTAAGATTGCTCTCCTAGGCACTCTGCAGGCACTGAAAGAAGTGTGTGCAAAAATGCATATGACTTCCCATGCAAACTTTTAAAAAGAAAAGAAATTAAAAGTTTGAGATGACCCAAACATGAGCCTGAAAACTGGAAGTAGCAGATCTGTCCGTCTCTCCAATGCACCAGCTACATCTGTTTTGGTCCTAGTGTCAGGAGAAGTCAACCCTCATTTGGGGCTCCATAACTTGAGGACCACCAAAAATTGACTCCAGTTTGTAAACCGGGGATAAGGGTATGGAAACAAATTTGCTTCCATTTGTTTCTGCTCAGGATTTTACCCAGTTTGTACTTTCCTGACAAAACATAGACTCAGGCCGTGCTTGCACCGGGACCCTGCAACCACACCCCACCCGGTTCAGCAACCCGTGTCCATCTGCCACAGAGAGCGTCAGCTAAGCAGCAGTATCTGCATCTCACAACAAGCAAGCAAATCAGTTTGAAAAAAGTGCGTGAAAAATGTGTACTTTTGAAAAATGCACTCGGATTCATTTTAATCCATGGGAAAAAGATGTGTGCATTTCAAACATGTGCCTCATTGATAAGCACATTTGAAAAATGCACATGAAAACATGCACAGATCTTCGTATGAAAGGAAAAACAAAACGAAATCGCAATCCGATACAAGTGAGTCACAGCAAACCTTGCACTGGGATTCAGAGAACTTAGGTGAAGTGAGTTTTGCTGATTTGAACATCTCTTACCCAAGGTGGGCAATTTGGGGAGGGTAAATAAATGGTTCCCCTAACTCTTTCCCCTACCTGTTGTGGCAGGTATTCTGAAGAGGAGATCCGGCAGAAAGTTGGGACCTTCCGCCAGATGCTGATGGAGAAGGAGGGCGTGCTCACGCGGGAAGACCAGCACGGGCGGCACATGTGAGTAGCAGCGAGGCCTGGGCCATGCGGCCACGGCCAGCGGTGCAGGACCATCAGCGCCTTATCCACGGGCATGAATGAGCTCACAAGCATCTCATTTGGCGCATGTCTTCCTGTCTTGATTTTCAAATTATTTTTAAAAGATTTTTTGAAAACCAGGTACATGGCTGTTTTGCTTTTAAAAATTGGAGGCTGGTGTTAGGAATGTCAGAGAAATCCACAAGGGATTCAACTGAGTTTGGATTCATAGAAACATAGAACATGGAAAAAGAGCGAGTCAGAAGGGGGCTTTCTGGGCCATCTAGTCTGACCCCCGGCTCCAGCCGGCTCCGCTCACGACATGCCCACCATGTGGACGTCCAGCCTGTCCTTGAACACCCTCAGCGATGGGGCCTCAGCCACCTCCTGTGGAAGCCCATTCCACACCCTGGGGGTCCTGACTGTCAGGAAGTGCTTCCTGGCATCTGTATGGAACCTCGGTTCCCTGAGCTTTGCTCTGTTGGAGTGCATCCTGCCTTCGTTGAGGATGCCACACCAGACCAGATTTTTCCGAGTTATGGCCCGTTTCCCAGTTTTCCGGGGCTTTTGCGTTAGATAGCAGGAAGGCATTCCTGACAGCACGATCCACTAAATCCCTTCCATCCTCTTGTCTGGGTGCTGCGCTTCCTCCCTGCGGTGACGTGTGAACCAGCTGCTGTGGCTGCAGATGAATTGTGATTTTCGGGTTGCTTGATGACGGCTTCGAACATCCTTCGACTCTGTTTTCTGGCTTCAAACTTGGTTTGCTGCCATGGGAGGTGCTCTGCCCCCCCCCCCCAAGGTGGGCTGTCTGTCCCCCATGAAAGAGTTGGACACAGTGGCCCTAAGGCCCCTTCCAGCGCTCCTATTCTATGAATCTAGGAAGCTTGCAATGATGCAAGATTTTTCATTTGCTTTTCAATAAAAGGGAAGGACCAAACTGCAGGGCCGTTTGCACATCTCTGCCTACTCTGTTTTCCAGATCGAAGAAGCAAAAATGCCCACAGTTTCTGAGTTTATGCCATGGGTCCTCAAACTACGGCCCAGGGGCCGGATCCAGCCCACCATGGCCATTTGGACTTGCTGTGCGCACCCGCCGTTGCCCACCTCGCCGACCCGCGCCCCCGCCTCATGCACACGCCCGCCCGCCCTGCCCCCGCCCCCTCGCCGGCCTGCGCCCCCCACTGGCACCACCTTTCCGGCCCGCACCCGGCACCGGCACCTTCCAACTGGCCCCCTGGTGAAAAAGTTTGAGGACCCCCGGTTTATGCCATGGGTGGGGGAGTAAAAGGACAGATACTTCCCCCACCCCAGGGCAAAGCAGTGGCTTGGTGAGTTTTTTGGAGCAGCAAAACTACACGGTGGGAAATAGTTAAGCAGCGGCTTGCTCTCGTGCAGACAAACAGACTTCCTTCGCAAATTGGCACCCGTCACCCAGCGCCCACCCACCTACCTGGCAGCTCCACTGCTTTTAGAAACAGGATCTTGGAATAAACCGGTTACCGGTTTTCTGTATCAGCCTTTGTGGTTCCTACGTCAAACATGCTGCCATGCATTTGGCAATTTTTCTTGACTTTTCTGACACTGATAAGCACATTCTGGGGACTGGTGATAGTTGCTGGCCTAATTCTGGATTTCTGAGCACTCACGAAATGTGTCCTGGTTTGTCAGTGTCAGCATGTGACCATAAGACAAGTCATCACCGTTTAGACGTGGCATTCAGTCTTCTGCCACTTAAACAAACCCCATCTGTTTCAGATCAACTCAGGTCAACCCATTTCTAGCTGGAGGTCAGGATGGTGACAATTTCATTCCAGCTTGCAAAATGTGCCTTCCAAAACTGATCGCAATCTACCAAGCATACCTGCCTTCTATTTATGTCACTTTCCTCTTCTAATTTGCACAAATTTCCAGGTACATGCAAATTTCTAAATCAGCCCTGCTTTAGTTGGGTGGATGCGGGGAGAAAATTTGCACAATTTGGGGAATTTTAGTGCAACTTCTTTTAGCTTTGTGCAATTTCCCCATCACAGTGAATATTTTATTTATTTATTTATTTATTTTTCGATTTATAACCTGCCTTTTTCCTACAAAGGACTCAAGGCAGCTTACCTCTCCTCCTCCATCTTATCCCCACAACAACAACCCTGTGAGGGAGGTTGGGCTGAGAGTCTGTGACTGGCCCAAAGTCACCCAGTTGGCTCCATGGCCGAGCGGGGACTCGAACCCAGATCCTCTGAGTCCCAGTCCCATGCTCTTAACCACTACACCACACTGCCTCTCATTATAGATGCAAACACGAATCAGCCACAAGGCAAGCCAAACTTTGGAGAATCTTAACATACCCAAATGGCAGAGCATGTTGAAGCTAAGCAGGCCTGGGGCTGGCCTGAGCTTGGAGAGGAGACCACTGGGAACTGCATGCAGCTGCCTTGAGTTCTATTATGGGATATCCGAATAACAAGCAAGCCATGACAGATCACCAGTCTGCACATTTCATGCAGGAAATGTTTTTCCTGGCCTTTATGTTCGAGAAGACCAAGAAGCACCATTTTTCACTTCCAGGGGAAACGAGGAGGGATTTAGGGCAAGGTCCAAAGTGCTCCTGTTGGTCCATCCTCTTTTTAGCCGCAGAGCAGCTCAGGATCATTTCTTGTGCTTATTCAATGTATTGATCAGTTCCGGCTGAGCTGGAGCACATGTCCCTTCCCGCTGATGCTGGCTGTGAAGAGACATGAAATCAAAGGGACTTTTTTCCTTTTTAAGGAAGGCACCATCACTGCTACCCTGAAATAAGAGTAGTTGAAGAAGGGTAAGCCCAAGGAAGCATTGGGGGGGGGGGGCTTCCCCTCCAGTCTGAACTAGTCTTGGCTTTAGGTGGGGCTTAGAAAAATTTTAACCTGACGCCAAGAAGATGACAGTGTTGGCACCAGGTGGGCCTCAGTGGGGAGATCATTCCATAATTGGGGGGCCACCACTGAGAAGGCCCTCCTCTTTGTTGCATCTTTCTGGGGCTCCCTTGGAGTTAGCAACCAGAGGAAGCCCATAGATGCAGAGCATAGGAATGGGGCAGGCTGAGGTTGGGAGGGGGCACCATTGGGTATTGCGGAGGGGTTAAAACTATCTAGGGCTTTATGGGTTTGAATTGTGCTTGGAAGCCTGCAGGCAGCCAATGCCAGCAGGCCAGAATTGATGTTACATGGTTGGACCCCTTTGCCTCAGTTGTTAATCCGGCCAGTACCTTTTGCACCCGCTGCAATTTCTGAAGTCTTCTGGGGTGCAGCCCATTGCAGCAGTCTAGCTTAGAGATGTCCAGAGCATAGATTCCATGCCTACCTGAATCCCCTTATTAAGCTCATCATCATCATCCCATACCCCCAAGGGGATGGAATGGGCTTCCACGGGAGGTGGCTGAGGCCCCATCGGTGAGGGTGTTCAAGGAGAGGCTGGTCATGCACATGGTGGGCATGTCGTGAGCGGAGCCGGCTGGAGCTGGGGGTCAGACTAGATGGCCCAGGAGACCCCTTCTGTTTCTGTGTTTCTATCTCTCGCCATATACTTTATAAACTTTCCAGAAGCCCAAACGGAACAGAAAACCCGAATAGCATTGAACTCGTATTTCTCAATCATGGTTAGGAACATACGAATGATGTAAAATCTATTCCACCTGACTTTTATGGATTATCGATCTGTCATGCACTCCTTGACAGAATCAGGTGTTGCACAAATGCATTTGTATGCAGATCTGTAGCTGTGCAAATTTGTACTACCGATCCTTCCCAAACAGGCAAATGCACCCAGTGCTTCTTTTCACTGTCCAGCCTTTCGGGGAGATGAATATTTTTGATCAGTTGCAATGCCTTTGGTTCTTAGTGTTCATGAGTTTAAAAAGATGGGCATTAGCTTCAGGTGTTTCACTTTCAGGGGAGGTGGCTGAAAACTGCAGCAAATGCTTCCCCCACACATAGTCTTCCCTGCAAGTCACCTTTTAATTGCCTCTGATTCACATTTTGCACCACCCAAATCCAAACTAAGCATAGAACCGGGCTTCACAGGCAGCTTTCTGCCCAACATTCCCAGAAGCAGCCCCTGAGACGCGACTGGGCATCCGTTCCCTTGCGTGCCATTTGCAGAGCAGAGCAAATATTTTGTGGACAAACATTGTTAGCAGGAAGAAGGTCGTGTGGCGTGACCCAAAGTTCTTTGAAAGACACCCAGCCTCCCAAACGTCCCTTGGCTTTATTTATATTTATGTATTGCCCATTTATTCATTCCCGCATCGCACCTATTCTTGGTCCATCTGTCTTTGCTTCGGTGCCTTTTCTTAATGGGAAGGCTGCACTGGCCGGAGGTGGGACCAACTGGGGCCAGCACCGTGGCATCAGGACACGGATACTGGTATGAGGAAACATGCGCAAGCCAAATCCGAGCGAGGGCACTGCTTTGCTCTCTCTTGCTCTCTCTCCCATCGATGCCCCTGTTGCCTTCCAGGGTGGGCTTCGTGTGTGCTTGGCTGGGAATCGCCCGTCCACTTCCCAGCCCGATCGCACGCCATGCTGCAGGCAGGGCGGCACACGCCTTCTTTGCCTCCCACGATCCAGACACGCCACTGCAGCCAGACTTTCCACGGCGGCAGCCATGTTCCCGCCTCCGTTTCCCGGCCTGCTGATGCCTTGTACTTGCCGAGCCTGAATGTCCCGGGGTTCATTTCCTTTAAAACAGCCAATTATTCACTCAGCTTGTAATTGGGTTAAGCTCCCCGAGCGGCAGAGATTAAAACCCTCCCGGGCAGGCGTCTGCCGGCAATATTGCTCCTCGCTGCCACTCTCTCCTCCAGCAACATCGCTCTCTCTGCCGCTCTCTTTCTGCTTCTGAGCAGAAACCAGGCGGACGGGGCGGGTGCAGCGAGATCTCTTTCCAAGAAGTGCTTGCAAGCTCCCGAGTGGCTTTCAAGCGCGTTGGGGGCAATGCGCTTGCGAGCCCATGACGTGCCTCCACTGGGCCAAGGTGGGAGTGGAGCAGGGGCTCCAGTCGCTGCTTCCATGTGCCAGTCCAGGATCTCGGGTGCCTGAAGCACCTGGGTGAACACCTGCTCACCCACTCTGGAAATAGCTTGAGAAACTCAGATCTGTGCCCTCCGTCCACAAAGCCAATCTGGGCCCTGAGCTCTGCCATTCCCAGCACAGGGAGCTGGGGGGATAGGGAGAGGCAGTGCGGTGCAGTGGTTAGAGGGTTGGAACTGGGGACTTGGGAGAACTGGGTTCTAGTCTCCATTCAGCCAAGGTTCTCTGGGCAGCTTTGGGCCAGGCACTCACTCTCAGCCTAGCTTACCTCACTGGGTTGTTGTCGAGAGGATAAAATGGAGCTACAGGAGCTGCCCTGGGTCCCTCACAAAAGGAAAAAAGGGGGCACGCAAATGCCATGGTACGGGCAGGACCTCCTGGAGCTCGTTTCCCAGCACAGTCCATTAGGCACTACGCTCACCCTCCAGGGCCTTCCTCCAAGGGTGGCCACGGGGAGGGGGGGTTCCGTGGCACCCCCATCTCTGCGACAACCTCCCCTCTGTGGCCCAGCTGGCTCCAAAACATTACGGGTTATTTATTTTAATTTAATTTTGGTTAATGTATTGGTTATGCTTATTGGTGTGTGGGGGTACATTTATTTTGTGATGTTATCTTTAATTTTATTGTTTTATCTATTTTATCAGATTATCAATTGTTTCACTGTTTTCTATGTAAGTTTTTATGCTGTTTTAGCATTTGTAAGCCACCCAGAGAACCTTTAGGTTATGAAATGGAAGTAAAGTAAAGTAGGGAAACAAGGTTCCATTTAGATGCCAGGAAGCACTTCCTGAAATTAGGACCCCGAGGGTCTGGAATGGGCTTCCACGAGAGGTCGTTGAGGCCCCACTGGTGAGGGTGTTCAAGGATAGGCTGGAGGTGCACATGGTGGGCATGTCGTGAGCGGAGCCGGCTGGTGCCGGAGGTCAGACTAGATGGCCCGGGAGGCCCCTTCTGACTCGCTCTGTTCCTGTGTTTCTAAAGTTAACCACCTGGAGGCTTGGGGAGATAACTCCTCTCTGGGGTTTTTTCCCCCTTTTACAGGGTTAGTTTTACCTGTTTCTAATTCATTTTAATACTGCCCTGCTTGCACGATCCTTATATTGCATTGTTATTTATTTATTTATTTATTTATTTATTTAAAATATTTATATGCCGTCCAGTTCGCAAAAAGCCTCAGGACAGCTTACAGCATAAAATATAGCATAAGTAAATTCCTGACCCACACTGGCTGCAGTTAAAAACATAGAAAAGACAATATTAAAGCTTATTAAAATATCACTGGAATAAAAAGGTCTTAACCAGGCGCCGAAAAACAAATAACGACGGCGCCAGGCGGACCTCTCTGGGGAGCGCATTCCACAGATGGGGTGCCACCGCAGAGAAGGCCCTGCTCCGTGTGCTCACCCTCCTAATGTCCTTCACGGAGGGTTCCCGGAGGAGGGCCTCTGCTGCTGATCTCAAGGGGTGGGAGGGCAAATACGGAAGAAGGTGCTCCTTTAGGTACCCAGGACCCAAGCCGTTAAGGGCTTTACAGGTAATAACCAGCACCTTGAATTGGACCCAGACTTCAGTGGGGAGCCAGTGAAGCTGACGGAGGACTGGAATCATGTGAACATAATGCCCAGTCCCCGTCAGCAGCCTGGCAGCTCTATTTTGAACCAATTGAAGTATCCAGACCATCTTTAAGAGCAGCCCCACATAGAGCGCGTTACAGAAGTTCAACCGGGAAGTAACGAATGCATGTGTCACTGTCGCTAGGCAGTCGTCCTCCAGGTAGGGGTGCAGCTGATGGATCTGTTAGTTTGTTTTCATGCTTTTTGTAAACCATCTAGACTGTTTCAGCTATGGGGTGATATATAAATGAAATTAATGCATACCTATGCAATTATAGGGACTGCGGGTGGCACAGTGGTTTAAACCGCTGTGCTGCTGGGCTGGTTGATCGAAAGGTCGCCGGTTCGAATCCGCAGACGGGGTGAGCTCCTGTGCTCCGCCCCAGCTCCTGCCAACCTTGCAGTTCGAAAGCATGCAAATGCGAGTAGATGAAAAGGTGCCACTTCGGTGGGCAGGTAACAGCTTCCTGCACCTCGGTGTTTAGTCATGCCGGCCCCATAACCACGGAGACCGTCTGCGGACAAGCGCTGGCTCCCTCGGCCAGGAAACGGAGATGAGCACCACTCCCTAGAGTCAGCCAGGACTGGACATAACGTCAAGGGGAAACCTTTACCTTTTGTGCAATTATGCTAATAAACCCTCTGTGATATGCACATCATTTTAGCCTGTTCCTCAAACACAAAAGGCTCCTGAGTAGCCTTGAACTGAGCAGCCCCTGCCTGCAGGCCTGCCATCCAAGAAATGACAGAGCACACAAGGAGGGAGGAGCAGGGCGGGAAGAGGAAAAACATGCGTTCTTGGGCCGCTTGGGGCACACTGGGTGTGCAGCATGGCCGCTGCGGTACCACCAAAGTCCGTCCAGCTGAGGAAGCGCATTTCCCAAAGCGGGCAGGCACCCCGAAGGGACTGAAGGAATGTTAAACCTCTGCCGAGTGCCTAACCTTTCTCTTGCTTCGGCCGGCTTATCAGCTGCATCCCTGCTTGGATGAGCGGAAGCCTTGCTACAGTTCTCCATGCACTGGGCACCTCATGCCTGGCTTACGGCCATGCGCTCTATGCGGGGCTGCCTTGAGGATGGCCCAGACACTGCGACCGGTCCAACATCGGGCGCCACGTCTGCCGGCCAGGACTGGCTGTCGGGAGCGCGTCACGCCGGTCCTGCGCAGGCCACGGTGGCTGCCGGGCGCCGTCCGGGCTCATGTCAAGGCGCTCACAGTGACGTACAAAGCTCTGCACAGCTCGGGGCCGGGCCGCCTGCGGGGGCGCCTGCCCCTCACGTGCCCACCTGAGCACTGCGGCGCCGTCCGAGGCTCCTCTCGGCATCCTCCCCTCCCCGTTAAAGGGGCGATAGAAGGAGAAGGGCCTTCCCATAGCAGCACCCCAGTCGTGGGATTCGATCCCACTGGAGACTCAGTTGGCATTGTCTCTTTATCTGTAGGCACCAATTAAAAACATTCTGTAATGATTTCAAAGGGTGAACTGGTAGGTTTTTGTGGTTTTCATTGTTAATTGTTGCTGCCACGTCATGATTTAATGCCAGACATTTTACCTTGTTAATTTATGTATCATTTTATTTTGTTTCCTTAGGGTGTTTTATTTGGTTTAATATATTACCTCTCATTTTATGTCCCCTTTTATCTCATCGTATTTTACCTATATTATTATATTTATTGATCTTATTGTTATGACTGGCTTTATTGTGAATCGTGAGTTCTTTAATTTTCCTGTATATTTTGTGGGCTGTCCAGAGAACATATGGCTAATGGGGCAGCATACGAATTGAATTAACAACAGCAACCACATCCACACTCCTGTGCATCAGGAGAAAGAGCCCTGTGACCCCCGGACGCCTCTCTTGCTCCCCCTGCAGAGGTGGTGGGCCTGTTTCAGGGCCACCCCGAGGGGCTGCAGAGCTGGTGGGGCTGTTTCAGGAGACGCCTGGGCCACCCCGAGTTCACCTGCACTGCTTTTGTGCTGATCCAGAGGTTGGACTGAGCGCCTTTCAGAGGCTGTTAGACTCCATGCCCTTCCAGACTCGAATTTGCTTTCTTCTGCTGCTTTTTTAGCAAACGTGGAAGCCGGCTCAGCACACAGCGCATTCCAGGGCCGTCCTGACGTGCTTCCAAAGAGTGTTTTTGTGGACCTGGGGCTCAGCCTTCCCCATCCCCGTATCGTGCCTGGGTCCTGCGACGAGTTCCCTTTCTTTCTGTCTCGCTGGTGCTGCTTCCGGGAATCCCGTGTTTGGGAATGGGCAAGTCGGGAAAACCCTGTTTTTCAACCCGCTTCTCTTTTTCTTCCGGTGCTTCTACATCCTTGAACAGAGTGATAGAAAACCACCACATGGTGGACGGAGACGAGTATTCGGGGCAGTACCCAGAGTTCCAGGAGGACTTTTCGCTGCACTGCGACTGCTCCATGGGCTGCTATGAATATGACAGCAGCCACCGAGAATACAGGTGAGCTTCCAAGGCCCCGGCCAGGTCCTGGGGGGTCACACACAGGCAGCTCCTTTCCCCCCTTCCTGTGGCTTCCAAGCCTCCTCGTGGCATCCCAGTCTCTTGGCAAGGTCTTATCCAGCCTTCCCCAGCCCAACCTCTTCCAGACATGTCCATCATCTAGCAGATCATGGAGAAAACTAGTTTACAACAACCATTCTTCCTGATTTGCTAGTTTTCTGTATGCGAGGGGTGCAGGGTGAGGATTGCTGCAAAGATGCGTTTGTTGTTTGAGCCCCAACATTACTATAAAGGCATTTTCCTTCTCATCTCAAGAGGACTAGAAACATGGGGAATGCTTTAGGAAAGATGCCAACCCTTGCTCTCTGCTCGGTCTCTTGCAGGCTGAAGAGGCGGTCCAGCAGCTCCACCTCTCCCCCACCCAAGAAGAAAAAGAAAAAAAAATCAGGCCACCGCCGGAGCCGGTGAGTTGCCCAAAGAGAGTGGCTGTTTTTGGAGCATGGAAAAGCTGTGACGGGAACAGGGGGCTTGTCAGTTAAGCTGCATCACTGAGCCCTCATCGCATCCATTTTTTCTTAGTAGTGGGGGAGGGGAGCATGTGGGACGCAAAGGTCCGTGGCTACCAGAGCTGTGTGACTACCGCAAAATTTGATATGTCTGCCTTTCACAGGTGGGAGGGTACCTTTCCCTCTATCATCTGCTCATTGAGGAAATTGGATTTTCTGCAAATGCATTTGTATGCATTTGCACAAATTTTCACTTGTGCAAATGCACACCCCTGCCAATGCACGAGCCCACCTGCCAATCCTGCCAAAGCACCCATCGCCACACGTCCGCCTCTTTGGTCTGGTGTGGCCATTTTCCTTTGACTAGATTTGCACGAAATCACCTATGATTTTAAAAAATGGTCTGCGCGTCTGAGAATCTGCAAGACTTGAGGGAAGGCTTGAGTCCACTGCAAAGGCCCTGACATGCCTGGGTAGCACATGTGCAGAAAGCTGTGAGTTCTGCTGGGGGGGGGGGCAACTGCTCAGCACCCTTCCCACCTCCAGTGCACAGAAGCAAAGCATGTTCAAACTGAGCTGGTGGAGGGATGACCTGGATGTACTGTGAGAGCAACTTGGAAGTAATTGCAGTCAGTGTAGGAAACCTTTCCCAGCGCCAGGCATCTTGGAGTACATGCCCAGCTCGCTGCAGATGTGTGTGCAGTTCAACAGATCTGGCGGGCGCCAGACGAGAGACTTGGCGTGGGAGCATGACCAGGTTTCCAGCCGGGGAAACACCTGCACTTGCCTAAACGGTGCAAACTGAAAGGCGAAGCATCATCTCTCTTGTTCTGTACACTGTATTCCAATTTTGCTAGGTATGCCCTAATTTCCAGAACCCATCACTCAGCCCCCTTCTCTACCTTCCAAAAAGTGCATTCATTCATCATATATTCTCCAACTTTCAAGCATAAGGACTAGAAACTCCACTTTCCTTTTTGAAATGAAAACTAACCTTTTTTCCTGGTGGCTGAAATTGGAGACCCGAACCCTCTTGCTCTGCTTTTGCCTTGCTCCCAGGGAATCAGGCAAGAGCACCAACCCTCAGGCCTGCTGTATGCATCTGGCCCGCCAAGTCCCAGTCTGGCTTTCCCCCAAATGACCCCACAGTGAAGAACAGGCCATAGGAGATTCTCCAAGCCTGAATTTACCTCGAGTAATACTAAAAGCCCGAGCCCCATGCCTTACTGACTGCCCAGACTGCGGCCGTTAGGAAAGAACCAGGGTGAATCTGGATTTTAGGAAAGAACCAGGGTGAATCTGGATTTTATGTGCACTATTGGTATTGTTTTTATTTATTGTATGTAAGCCGTCCCGAGGCTCATGCGAATGGAACGGCATGCAGACATGCTAGGTAAATGAATGAATGAATAAATAAAATAGCTCCGGTTTCACATTAGATAGGCGTGCAAACCCAATTCAGGCGGGCACCACATTTCGGCCTGAACTTGGACGGAGCGAGCCGGGGAGCCAAAGGCAGGACCACAGATGGCTCCGCCGATTCTGGTTGCGGCCCGGGCCACTCGCCTTCACCCCCCGTGCCGCCGCAGCCGTTGTGGCATGGATTATCCCGGGCAGGGTCACAGGACTAACCGTGATTGCAATAATTGTCCCCAGCACGGTTGCCGCGCTGTCTGCCCCCACTGCTCGAGGCTGCTCCCTGTTTGGAGACCAGCCGGGCGTCTCTTCACTCACCGCTTTCATCGCTTTCGCTGCCCTGCTGGGAAAACGTCCCGGGTGCATCCCCCGGGTTCCGGATCGCCCGGTGAGCCATTTTCTCCGTGCAGAGCAGGGGCCGCCTTGATGAGCGCGATTTTCTTCGCTTTGGCTAAGGGGAAAAGGCCTAATTAGGAAGACGAAAATTAGGAAGATGAGCTGCGGAGGGACAGGAATGGCAGCTGGCCCGATCTTTAAACTCGGCCGGCTGACTGCCTCACATGCGCCCTGGGGAGCCAGAGAAAATCCGGGCTTGCACGATGGCCAGCCCCCCCCCCCCCACACACACACACACGCACGCTCCCCGCCCCCGCTCACGTCGGGTCTGCATCCCTGCCTGTTGCATCTCGATGCTGCCACCAGGGGGCAGCAGGCTCCCCATCGCTTTCCAGCGCCGCCGGCACCGGCTGCGGACGCACGTGTGCGCGGAGAGACGGGCCGGGGCTCAGCGCGTGCCCGGAGGGGCGCCAGGGGGAGGAAGCGCGTGCCCGGAGGGGCGCCAGGCGGGGGAAATGCCCCTGCTCCCCTCTCCATTGCTGCCACTTGGGGTGCCCAGTTCAAATCGGGTCTCCGGGGCAGACAAGCGCATCCGCCACCCCACGCCGATTTCCCGCAGCGAGAGGAGACATGTCGCCCAGCGGCGATGCAAAGTATTCTGGGATGGCGCTGTCCGGAGCAGGCACTGACGGGTGGCCATCGTGGGCGAGACCCGAAAAGCGAGTGGGCTGCCGTTTGGAGAGCAGCCAGCCGGACTGTCCCCGGGAGCAGCTGCGCTTGGGAGCCGAGCGCTCCGTGGCTGCCGGCCACAGACTGCAGGGCCACGGGGCGGGGGGGTCCTCTCCCGCATCACCCCCGGCCAAAAGCCGCAGCAGCAGCACATCGTGGTTTCCAGACCTGCAGAGAAGAGCTGGCCGTGGCAGAGGAAATGCATGCACCCAGCAGCAGTCAGAATAGATTCGTGGGATGGACTGGCACGATGGGAATAATCCTAGGAACACCGGTTTTAAAAGGAGGCCCCATATTTTCATCTGTGAAAGCATTTGGCCACATCTCTCCTTCTCTCCCAACGTGTTTCCAAAGGTCTAAATGCCTTTCCTTGCTATCCTGTGCACAAGATGCACAGTTTTGCTTGCCTTTTCTTCAAGCTCTGCGTTTGGTTCACTCCCCCCCCCCCATTTCTTCTTCTTCCACTTTTCTGGGGTGTGTATTCTTGAATCTACCTTGCACCAGTCCGTTTGGGAGGGCACAAATGTCACAGAGAGATTGCAGGCTGGTTCATCTGCAGCTGCATTCAAAGGGAGCCCAACAGATTTTCCAGCTACCCCAAGTGGAGGCAGTGCTGCCAACTGCGCTGCACAGGGCCATGTGTGTGCATAGATGCAGAGCACCCTGGAGGGGAGCATGGGTGTGCGCATCGGTGTGCGCATCCGCCACAGACGGTGCAGTCAGTCGGGTCCAGTCGCTTGTGCTCAGACCTGAGAGAATAAATCCAAAAGAGAGTGCGCCTGCTCACACACAAAGCATCTCACCCTTTCTGCTCGGCATGTGAGGAAGCGCCGTTGAGGTGCCAGGGATGGACCGTAGAGTGTGGCTGAAGCAGACCTAGCTTGAAACAAGAAGGCCAGGAGTCAACGGTTGCTCGGTCAGGAGCTTTGCTAGGCAGCCTTAGGTCAGTTCATATCTCTTTGTCTGTCCTACCTCACAGGGTTGTGGGGTGGATAAAAATGGGATGGTCCTAAGCTCCCTGGAAGAATGTGTGGAATACAAATTTTGATACAGCCGTGCTGTGTGACTCTCCTGTCAGTAGAACCTTTTACCCATTGCAGGTTTTCTTTGGAGCTTTATAGGAGCCGGCTGTGGTGCTCCATGGTGGGAATAGAATTGTGCTTCTGTTGAATCCTTCTCTTCCTTTGAAGGTTGTCTCACAGGCTTGGTCCACAGACTGTAAACCCAATTTTCACCTCCATAGGGATGAGCACCTAAGCCGTTGAGATTCTTCATGTGCTGAACTGAACTAATTCTTCCCAAGTGGGTTCAAGGTTTATGCAAGATGACAACAGCCATGCAGGGCCGATAACAACAGCCCATTGGCTGGGATTTAAAACCAAAAACCTGGGAGCAGGCAATTCCTTGGACTTCAGTCATAAGCCCATTGAACTAATTTGCCCTCCTCTCTTTATGAAGAGGAATTAATTCATTAACTCATGTTTTGTCTGTTTCCTGCAACCTCAGCAAAAAAAGGAAGCCTGGATCAGAACGCAGGTGGGTTCCTTTCCTTCTTGTAGCTGCAGCTGTTCTCCTCCTCCTCCTCCTCCTCATTATATTATTGTTAATTTCTATTCCGCTGATATCTGAAGCTCTCTGGGCAGTTCACAACCATAACCACAGAATCATACACTCAAGTCCACCATCCAGATTCTAACCAGGCCTGACTCTGCTTAGCTTCCCAGGGTAGGCAAGCTCAGGCAGGCCAGGCTATATGTGGGCATGCACACAGAGAGTGGCTCTGCTGGCCTGGCCAGAACAGCCTGTCGTGTCTTTTAGGCACTGGGGGGCGGCGGGGGGGACATAAGGGTTGCACAGGTGTCACATAACTGCAAGGACCCACAGCTTGCGTGAGGTGCTGGAGTTGTTATAGGCTGCCCAGGTCCTCTTGAGAGGAGGGGGCTCAGAGGGGGCCTGCTAGCGGCATGCAGGTACATGAGCAGGTACCTCGCAGGGGTGGGTCATGGCCCTTTTCCCCTGCAGAGGAGGGCAGGATGCACTCCAAGGGGGCCAAGCTCAGGGAACCCAGGTTCAGTTTGGATGCCAGGAAGCACTTCCTGACATCAGGACCCCGAGGGCGTGGAATGGGCTTCCCCGGGAGGTGGCTGAGACCCCATCGGTGCAGGTGTTCAAGGATAGGCTGGACGTCCACATGGTGGGCATGTCATGAGCAGAGCCGGCTGGAGCAGGGGGTCAGACTAGATGGCCTGGGGGACCCCTTCTGGCTCACTCTGTCTCTATGTTTCTAAGTCATGGCATCCGTCCACCACAAGATCAATTCCCAAAATGGTGACTGGCTGACTCTGTGGCTTAATGAGCCCACGGTGGCCTGGCCAACGTGCAAGCCAGCCCAGGGAGTGATTCCCAGCTTCTTTTCCCTTGGAGCATCCCAAGCCGGAGGCTGGAGCCTCCGAATATGGCCTCCAGATCCTCTGGAGGAGAGGGTCCTGCCCCATGCGGCCTGATCCTGGACCTCCCATCTCCTTCAATGTCTGTTGTTAGCAACTGGTCCAGTGGGACCACCAGTCCAGGCTTCGGGGAAACTTGGCGTGTGACTGTTTGGGTTCGCTTGCTGAAGTCCAGAGTCCTCCAAAGACTGACAGCTTGTGGCCCTCCTGAGGTTTTGGACTGCACCTTCCAGGAGCCCAGCCAGCAGACTCCAAGGAGAAGGATTATGGGAGCTGTAGTCCCTTCATCCAGGAGGGCACCAGATCAGCCGGGGACCTAATGAACCAGGAATGATTTAATTGGCTGGTTTAATAGGCCTTGGTGCCAGCATTTCATTCATTTCAGAAGAGGTGGAAACTTGGACCGAAGGGAGGCTATTGGGGGCTTTCATAAAACTTGCATTGCTTTTGGGGTATCTTCACCCCATCATTTGTCCTTTCCTTTTGACTCACTGAAGCATCCCCTTTGCTCGACAGCGGGGACAGCTGTTCCCCAATCCGGAAGGAGAAGAGAAAGAAGACTGGGAAGAAGCATCGGAGAGACAGGTAACCAGCCAGGGCTGCCTCCCCGTCCATGTTCACTGGGGGATCGGGGCCTTCCTGTCTCCCCCTCTGCACCTCTGCCTTCCACCTGGCAGTCTCGCCTTGGCAGGGGACGCCACTGTGTCCTCGCCAGCTTTTAGGGCGCGCCCTGTGCAAGGTTGAGCGAGGACGAGCCCGGGGCAAAGGCCTCCCGGGGAACACAGTGGACTTCCTCCCATCGGGGCAGGACTGGGTTAGCGCCCCTGGGAGGCCCCTGGCGGCAGAAGGCTTTGTGATGGAGCCCAGGCAGGCTGTGCCCGGCGGGGGTCCTGGACTCTCTTCCTGGCATCTCCACTCCACTCCAAAGGCAGGTCTGGCAAGGACCTTTCCCACCGCTGCCCCCAGCGAGGCTCCGAGCTGCACCCCCTCAACGGCCGCATCCACAGAGAGTGTACCTTGCGGATGCCGTAGCCCCCGGCGCCTCTTTCTCATGCGAACCCCAACCTGAAGGCAACTCTGGGTCCATCTGGCCCAGCAACAACTTTTGGGGTTCAGGCAGGGATTCTCCCAGAGCCCAGCGGCAAGTTGGGCCACGCGGTCTGCCCCCTTCTTCTCGCCAAGGCAGGTGGGCCAGTGAAGAAGAAGCAACCCCAGAGGGCCTGTCAGTGGCCCGCAGGCCCTTCCGGTTGCCTGGCCATGGATGCTGGTCCTGCTCCGAGAAATCTGCCCTTCCCGAAACAGGCACTGCTGCCCAGCCATGGCCAGTATGGGCCTGCCAGTCCAGTGCTACCCTCTCTAACTGTTGGCAGTGCTGGCTGTAGCCCAGGACACTTGGAAGGGCTGGCTGGTGAGGGCAGTGCTGCTCTGGCAGAGCCTTTCCCTGGGGTTTCAAACTGGAGTCCTTCCCAGCCCTAGGAAAATTTGAAGCCCTGTAATCCAGATCCTGGGTCCATTTAGGCCAGTGCTGCCAGCACGGATGGGCAGCTGCACCTCTCTGTATCTCCAGCCCCTCCTGGAGATGCTTCCAGGAAGCAAACCTGGGGCTTTTGGCACGCCAAGCAGGGGCTCCCACACGGAGCCGCGATCCTCCCAGGACTGCCGCGACTTCCTCCCAGCCATGCAGGGAGGCAGGGAGAAGGAGGCCACGGCTAGGCCAGGGGGAGAGGCAGGGGGAGAGGGCATGACTGCAAGGGGGCTGGCCATGAGCCCCTGCCAGCCCCCCCCCCCCAGGCCTTCCCCAGTGCCAGACTTGCCTTCCTCTTTGTGAGTTGGGGAATAACATAGCCCTTCCCAGGCAATGACACGGGCTAGGCCCTTCCTATTTAATTCCTGCACTGCTCCACGGCTGAAGCTCCGGACCCATGGCCAGCCCTGCCACAGGGCAGCAGAAGCAGTGCGAACCCGGGGAGGCCAGGCCTCTCTCTCTTCTGGGTTGTGTCTGGACTTGGAGGGAGCTGCTGCGGGGCGGAGGGGGGGCATCCAATTTGGGGCAGGCTCAACACCGTGGACAGCTCCCTCAGGGGCCAGACCAGGCCCAGAGCGGGGATTCAGCCCCTCCAGGGGCGTCTCCACGGGCTGGAGTTTGCACAGGACTGCTTGCCAGCTGGAGGGCGAGAGCGGGAGGCACGTGCCAGTGGCGGCAGGGCCGGATCCTGCCTTTTTGCCGTCCCCCTGCTCCGAAGCATTGGCTTGCCTCTCCAAAGCCTTGCTGAATTCACCTGAGAGAGAGCCAGTGTGCCATGGGGACCTGGGCTTCGCGTCCCTGCATGTATTGCAGCTCCCAGGCCAACTCTGGGCCACTCCCTGCCTGCTGGCCTGACCTACCTCACAAGATTGTTGCACGGATAAATTACAGAGGAGGAGGAGGAGGAATATGGCAGCTGCCTTGGGTTCCTCGCAAGAGGAAAAGACAAGCCGGAAATGCAGTGCCAGGGGGGAGTGGGTCCTGCCGTCGAGGAAATGGCAAAAAGAAAGCCGCTTTTAGGCCAGCCTGCGTGTCCTGGGAGATGGCTTGAGGGCCCGTTCAATGACCTGAATCCCCCCACCCCTTCCCTTTTGTTTTCCTCTCGTTGGTTGTGCACCAGGTCTGCATCCGGATCGCGCAAGAGGAGGAGGCGCAGGTGAGGCGAACGGGGCGGGCCCCTCCAGCCCGGCTGCCTCGGCCCTCCACGGCCGCGCTGCCCTTCCCACCTGCTCCCTGCCCTCTCCCCGGCCGGGCCAGCTGCACTCTGCTCCCCCGCAGCCCGAGGCCCGTGCCGCGGGGCTCCTGGAGGCCTGCCTGAGGCTCACCACTCTTCCGTGCACCGCTGGAGCTTGTCAGAGGGGCAGGTGCCGAGGGCAGCACTGCAGGGCCAAAGCAGGGGTGGCCACGCCCCCCCCCTTTGGGGTAGTCTCTCAAGGGCTGCATGAGGCTGACGAGGTGGCCACCGAACGGATGTGGCTGCCCCCTTCCCCGCCACCCCCTTTCTTTCCGCCATCCCTCTGTCTGGGGTGCTGGGGGCGAGCCTCGAGAGAGGTGCCAGGGCCCAAGCAGCCGAGCAGAGTCCAAGCCCAGTCCAGGAGAAAGCCCGAGGCAGGGTGGCGGTCGAGGGACAGACCGAGGCCAGGAACGAGGAGCGAGGACTTGCCGCACTGCAGCCAAGGGCGGAGAAGCCGGAAGGCGACAGAGCAGGCGCTTGAGGCAGGAGGGCAAGCGAGGCAGGATGGGAGGAGGGGCGGCGAGGTGAGGAGGGGGACCCGGCGAGGATCAGGAAATGAAGCACGCTGGAGCGAGGAAGGCCTGGGCTGCTGTGGTGGGATGCAGTAGCACGGGGCGGGGCGGGGCAGGGCAGGGCAGCAGGACTGCAGCACGGCAAGCAAGAAGGCCCGCGCGGCTGAGGCAGCCTGCGGAGGGAAGAGGTTGCTCTTGCATAGCTCCCTGCAGGCTCCTGGGAGAGCTCCAGCCGGGCCTACATGGACTGTGGTGGTGGCGGCGGCGGTTCTGATTCTGGCCACCAGGTGGCACTCTGAAGCAGTCCAGTTCCTGACCCCCCCCCGCCCCCCCCCCCGTGGGCCCTGTTCTCTCTCCCTCTGCCTTCTCTCTCTCTCTCTCTCTCCCCCCCTGCCTTTTCTCTCCCCATCTCCTCCTCTCTCCTCTCCTTGTGGGCTGCCAGGGAGGTACAGGTCATTCCTGCCTGTGCTTTGCTTTTGAGCTAAGAAGGCTTTGGAAAGCAGGCCAGGAACTCCCTACAGGCTTGGGAAAGAGGCCGTGAGGCTCACGGCTCCGGGTGAGGGCAGAAGGAAGCACCCGGCAGGCGGCGAAGGTGGGTGTGCTGGTGGCAGCGAGGCAGTGTGTCCGCGTCGGGCACCAGCGCACCATTTCAGGGAGCAGTCTGTGGTGCCTCTAGCTTGGGTTCAGTACCACGGACAGCTCATTAAGGGTTCAGGCTGATAGCTGGACCAGATACATGGCCCACTGGCTCTGGGACCCAACTCCCCTTTCCCCAGCACACCACCTGATGGCCATAAGGGGCCTCGGTAGGTGGGCTGATTCCAAAGTCAAGCCAGTAAGAAAATACTTTTCTCCTCCGATTCTGGACGCTGGTCCTAAGCATCGAACTCCTTCTGCTGGGAGGCCCTCCCAGGGAGGAGCAGATTTTGGTCCTTCAGCACCAAGCCTGAGACCGGCAGCGCAAATCAACAAAAATGTTCCGGAAGGTACCCAAGAAAGATTTTGGAAGTTAGCCGAGTCTTGTGGCCACAGCATGCGCTTGCCACAGGTCTCTCGCTCTCTCATTCTCGTTTCCTGTGTGTTCAGTTGTCTGCTGTCTTGTAGGTCCAGAAGTCCCAAGAGCAAACGGAAAGAGAAGAACAAAGACAGGAAAAGGTGAGGTTCTAACACCTGGAAGAGTGGCTTACGATCACTCACGCAGCATAGAAGTGGAGCGAAGGGGAGTTCATAGAGACATAAATTGGGCATAGATATTCATGTGCAAAATAGCACATGAGGGTATGAAAATACGTCATGATGCCATGGGTTGATTGTTCCCTGCAGAGCAGAAAAATTGAGCATGTAGTTCAAGATCATAGGCCATTATGTCCAGAGGCTTACTGTAGGCAGCAGGCCCAGCAGAGTAGCTGCTTTTGCACTAGCTCTGTGCCTGCAACCAAAAATATTAAAGGCTCCTCCAGATTTGGAGCACCATTGCTAGACTGAGAGCAGAAAGGAGACGCCTGGCTACCCAGTTGCCTTTTCATTTGCCCATCATCTTAAATGTTAGGAATTTTAATCAGGTTTTAATGTCACAGTCGCTTTTTGGTTTTTCGATTTTGCCCTTGGTCTTGATTTTGATTTGGTTTTAAACTTTCCTTCATTTGTGAAATGTCATTGGTTTTATGTGCATATTTGTTTGTTTATTTATTCTTGACTTGTTGGGTTATTTGTCTTGATTTTTGTAAGCCGCCCTGAGGCGCTTTTGCATATTGGGCGGGCTATAAATATTTTAAATAAATAAATAAGTGAATGGCTCCAGCCAGCTGGTGTAATGCTGTGAAGTCCCATTTCCAATTTTTATGAAATGCCTATCCGGTGGCCCCTTCCAAAGGAGGGTCTTACTGGTAGTGGCCCCCAGCTGTGGAACGAGTTCTCCAAAGAAGTGCGCCTGCCTCCTACTTCGTATTCTTTCTGGTGCCAGGTGAAGACTTTTGATTTTCCCAGCATTTTAGCAGTTTAACTTTCAAACTTTATTTTTAAATATTGCATTTTATTCTGTACTGCTGCTCTGCTTCTATGCGCATTCAGTTGTGGTGGCTATTGTGCTTTTGTAGTTTTAAGTTAATTTTGGTTTGTGTGTGTTTTTCTTAGCTTTGGTTAACTGCCCAGATTGCTTTAGCTATCGGACAATATAAAAATGATATAAATAAATAAAATTGGCCCAATCCAAGATAGTTCCTCAGAAATAAATTGCATTCAGCTCAGTGGGGTTTTGCTTCTTGATAAGTGTGGACTATATCAGAATTTCTTCAGCTCCTTTAATTCTCACGTAATGATCAGCTAAAACAACTGAAAAATATGTTTAGAACTGCAACATTTTCTTAATTAATTCCCTGGACATGTTTCAATTAACCAAAAAGGTGCTCCCAGTCAGCAGATTTATTTTAAGCACCCACATGTGCATGTGGACAATTTTTATACAGGTGTTTATAAAAATAGGTGAGGGGGGAATAATCTTGTAGCAAAGGCACTCTCTCCAGTGCAGGAGAAAGAGGGGGAAAGGCCACTTTTAAAAGTTAACTGTTGTAATTCGGTGAATTTAAGCCTTCTAAAATATAGAAATATTGGTTCCCCCTCTTTCATACATGCAGTTTTAGGCCATGATCCTAAGGAGATGGCTAGAAACCTCCAAACTCAGAATTGCGGATAATCAGTGGCCAGTTTTGGGTAGCTCTGGAGCTCCAGGGAAGGAGGTGAGGCCTACAAGGACCTGCCATGCCTTGCCTGGGGGTCTTGGCCCCTCCCTGCCTCCACCCCTGCAGACCCCTCCTCTTTCCAAGGGGTCCCTCCGAGCACAAGACTTGTTCGGATGTTGGGTCTGCCCATGAAGCTGGGAGTGCGACTCATCCGCTGGCATGACTCAGGGGCACCGTCCAAGGTTGCTTTGCAAAGCAATCCACAAACGAGCCCGAACATATGTAATTAAGCATCACGTTTAAGCGGATTTATTTATTTAATGTCTACCCTGCCCATTAGCCAAGCTGGATTCTGGAGCAGTCAGCATAAAAGCCACAAATTTTGGGAAGATAAATACACGGTAAAGCCATGTGTTAGAACAGAAGATCAGTGCAAAGTCATGGCTGGTCTCACAAAGACTGCTTCTTGGGAGAAAACATTTTCAGGAAGTGCTGGAAACAACACCATGTTGGTACCTCCCTGGCCGCCCCGGGCTGGGAGTGCCATGGAAAAGGGGCCACCGCTGTGAAGGCGCTTCTTGGGTGGGGGCAAGGCAGAACTGAGCCCCCTGGTGAAACTGGCATGCGGTTGGCTGGCACAGTGCTGCTCAAGGGGGGGCACAGCGGGGGCAGCTTGCCTTGTTCAGAAATAGCCAGCTTGGGGACTGAGTCAAGAATCCACAAGAACACAGAGGCAAAGTCTACGCATAAAACCAAGGCCTGTTTCTCCACCTGAAAAACCTCTCTCAAGTCACTCTGACTTGCCTTTCTGGATCGGTGCCATGTGGATTCCCGGCCTGCAGTGGCAGCTGAGATGTAGCAGCGCTGCAGAGGAGGAGACATTTCGCTTCCTTGAGCAAAGGGCCATATGGCCCTCGGGAAACATAGAAGCATAGAAAAAGCGAGTCAGAAGGGGCCTCCCGGGCCATCTAGTCTGACCTCCGGCACCAGCCGGCTCCACTCACAACATGCCCACCACGTGCACGTTCAGCCTTCTATAGCCTGCAGCTGCCTTGGATGAGCTGGAATGGCCAAGGACTTGACCCCCGGATCCCACAGCAAATCAGCCTGTCCCAGGTCTCGCAGGGTCTGTGGACTGGTGGGCTGCTTTTTCACCTTCTGTAATTGCATGCAAGTTTAGACAAAGAGAAATGCAGAGAAAAACAACCCAGGATGCCCATTTCCCCCATACGCTAGAAAACGCGTGGTTTGGGGAATTCGCAGGTGTCGGGGTGGCATTTACCCAGTGGGGGTCTTGCGCATTTGTGCCACTGCAGTTTGGGACAAAACTGTAGCCCCGTGCAAAATCTAGTTTTGCCGGTGAATGGATGGCAGAGCCAACAGTGGCTGTCGAACCTGCAATGCAGAGCGCACAGATTTTAAATCATTTGCACACCCCATGTACAAAAGCTAGGACTGGCCACCGCTTCTTTCTTCCCCTGCTTCTCCTGCCGAATGCTAAACCCAGCCCCCTTTTAAAGCCACCCGCACTGGCGGCAGCTGCGCCATTTGGGGGCCGTGGATTCCAGTGTTCAACTCTCAGCCGCCCTCCCTTGGGTCCCTCCGGAATCTCCCACCGTCTGGCTTCATGGGATGGCTCCTTTGATGGTCTCACAGGAGGATGAGAGGAGGGCAAAGGCATCCTTGCGTGCGCCTCCCCAGGCCTTCTCCAAGCATCTCTGAACCTGCCCAGGCGCATAGCTATACACTGAGCAGGCATGTGCTAAGCGGAAAAGGTGCGGGCCCACAGCCGGATGGGTGACCACTTGCGGAAGCAGAGCAGGGGGTTGGACTCGGTGGTCTTGTAGGTCCTGGTCTGCGTATCTGAAGGAGCATCTCCCTCATATACCTGCCCGTCTCCCAAGATCCGTGCCCAAGGCTCTTCCTCAGGAGCCCTCTTGGAAGGAAATCCGAAGAGTGGCTACCCGCAGGGCCTCTTCTGTGGTGGCGCCCTGGCTTTGGAACCTGCTCCCCAGAGAGCGGTGCTGACACATTCTTCATGAATGCAGTGCCAGGCCAAAACCGTTTTTTTTTTTAAACCTGCATTTTAAGAATTAATTGTGATTTGAATATTGGTTTTATTAGACATGTATGTTCCTTGTGTGCTGTCACCAGTGTTTTGTATTGCCATCCTGAGACTTTTGCAAAGGACAGGATAAAAATGCTGCAAATAGGCAACTGTCCAGGGAAGCAGCTCGAGGTTGCTGCAGACAGCACGGAAGAGGGGTGCTGCTCGCATGGGGCCTGGGGCTCCGTTCCCAGGGAGCTCCCCTGGACGCTGGGCCGCTCGGCAGGAATTCAGACTTAGGGCTGCACTGGAGTCCAGAGAGCCAAATGCCCGGACTCCGTCGGATTCCCAGCTCCAGCATGAATTCTGCTGCATTCCTCACAAGGAGAAGCTGCCCTTCCAGGGCACAAGCCTGGGTGGCTTCCAAGCTTTAAAAAGGAATATTGTGTAAACACACATGTCCCAGACTGCCAGCTCGGGAGTGCCTGAGGATTCACAGTCAGAATCCTAAAGCAAAATCCGAATGAAAAGTAGTAATCCGTCTTGATCTGCGAGGCCACAGCCAGGGTGCCCAGTCAGAGAGAAAGTGGTACGGATGCATTGGGCTGGACCAACGGGAAGGACGCAGGAAGCAGATTTGGGCTAAACCTCGGGAGGAAAGCAAGGGATTTTCAGCAGTGGAGCACACGGCCTCGGGGGCGGGGGCGTGGGCTGGTCGCTCTGTCTCTGGAAGTGTCTAGAAGAGGCTGGCGTTGTCTGTCGGCCCCGTGGTGTGAGCCCCGGTTCTGTAGGGGCTTCGACGCATGATCTCAAAGCTCCCTTCCAATTCTACCATTCTGTAAAAGCAGGCAGTGGTTCCGGGGACCCCAAGGCTGGACTGGGCAAAGGCTCAAAGCCGAGCTGGGTCGAGCGGGGTGCATTCCTGAGCCAGAATCCCAGGCCAGGCCAGGCAACCAGGCACTGCTCCTGGGCCGATGCCTCATGTGGCTCTCCCCCTGCTCCTGCAGGTCCCACAGTGAGTCGTCCGCCTGGCGGTCTCACAGGCGCAGCAGCTGCAGCTCCAGGAGTGCCTCCCTCTCTTCGGGTTACAGTGACTACAAATCGGCGAGCAGGTAAGCCCGGTGGCACCTGCCCGGCTCTGTGTGGGGGACGCACAGCCGGGAGTGTGGGGAGAGCCCGGCTGAGCAGAGCGGGTGCTTGCAAAAGGCCACTTCCGAAAGCCCCCCAGCCTTTGGCTCTCCACCTCTCTGGGCACCCCATTTCTGCGGCTGATCGAAGCTGAATGTTGTCGCAGGTGGGACAAGACGGCTCAGCCAGCTGGTTCCTGTGAGCTGAAGTGGCTGTTGTGTGCTCTGAAAAATACTTGGTACATGGGCAGAGAACCTCAGCGGAGCCCATTATGGCAGCTCCATTGAGGGCTTTTCCTGTGGGAGGGGCAGTACTGGCAGATGGTAAAGCATCATTGGTAGGGTCTGGCACAGCCTTCCCCAACCTGGAGCTCTCCAGATGTGTGGGACTACAGCTCCCACCATCCCCAGCCATGTGTGCTGCTGTTGATCAACACCTCTGTACAGCAGAGGTGTATGTACAGGCAAAACTCAAAGTTATCAAGTTCTCCAACCGGCACCTTGCCTCTTCTTCTGTCTTGTGTCGGTATCGGAAGCCAAGCTTAGTTTTTTCCTTTTGCACAAAAATCGGTGCATATTTTGTCCAAATGAACGCATCTTCGAAATGCGTACACTCTTTCTGTGGATGAAAGTGTGTTTGTGTATGGTCTTTTTCAAATGTGCACAGTCTGTTCATACTCCCAATGCAGGGTTTTTCAGTACGCAAAGCACTGAAGTGGGGACAAGCGAGCAAGCCAGTGTTGGGGTGGGAATCCATCGGATTACCTGGGCTCAGCTTCCTGGTCTCTGGCCCACTTTCTCACAGACAGGAGTCCGACTTCCTGGGGAGGACACTGAATTGCCCCACGGAGCCCCTGCACGCCCTGTGTCCCTTTTCCACACGCACGATTTGCAGCGCTTGCTTGCACGGCACGTGACGTGACGCAAAGAAGGTCATGGGTGGCACCACTGGAGTTCCACAGGTGCGCACAGGCTTCCTCTCGGCTGGGCTGGCTTGGTGAGCACCTGGCATGGGAGCAAGTCGGTGGCGCTTCCTCGTAAGCCTTTCACGTGCGCTGAGGTCGACCACAAAGTCTCCACATCGCTTGCTCCATCCAAACCCAGATCGAGACCCAGCCGGAACAAGCCCCGTGTGCACCTCTACACTCTGGGAGCTCCAGCTGGGAGAAGGTTGGCCTCGGGGTCCGGAGCAGAGTGGGTGGGCCAGCCTTCGGGCTCTGCCAGCACTGGGTCTGCGGGGACAGCCCGTGGCCAACTGTTCCTCTGCCTTCCTTCGCCTCCAGACCGAGCCCCAAGTACCACGAGGATGGTTCAAAGGCCGAGAGCCCCCGATCCAGCCAGAGCCCATCCTCCTCGGGTACCGGCCACAGCCGATCGGCCACGCCGCACCAGAACGGGCACAAGGGTGGTGCCCAGAACGGCCGCCACAGCGCCCTGTCGGAGAAGAAGCAGGAGGTATGGATGCTTCTGCTTTTCGCCAGGGTTTCCTCCCCCCTTGACCCCCCCTTCCCCGGAACGACTCACCCCTCCACCCCCTGCCCTCTTTTTAGACCCTCGCCTCAAGGTAGGGTGGGTGCTGAGGCTTGTGCCATCTGCAGCCAGGCCGTCCCTTCGCCCCATCACAGCCGGGCGCATCTCTGCACCTCGTGGAACGGCAAGCAGACCACGGATGGAGCGCAGGGTGGTGGGTGTCGGGGGAGCTGCCTACTCCATGCAAACTTTTTGTGGCTCAGACCAGTGGGACCGGAAGTCAGGAGGGTTTTACCGCTCCACCCTGTAGGGATTCACCCAGACGCACTGGCACACGCCTGTGCAAACACATACACACCTTTGCCCCGTCGGGCCGCCTGCATGAGACCAGCAGTTGCATGAGGCATGGCCATTGTGACTGCTGAGCACCCTTCCGGATTTTTCCCCACATGCCAGCAGTGCGGAGACAGGGAGAGACCATGATTCCAACCATAGCGTCCTCCAATTGAGTTAGGAAAGACCCACGTCTATGGGGCAGTGCATTCAGACGGCTTTCAGTATGAACTTCAAAGGAGCTGTCCTTAGCGCTGGACCTGTGGGGGCGGCTCCTTGGAATCACTCCTTAAAAGCCCAGGCTAAAACCTGCAGTGCGTACACTGCCCCATGGACCTTGGTGCCACGATCTCACTGGGGCCACGAATAACCTCAGCGTGACTGAACGAAACGGGCGGATGGCCCTGCCCTGACAGAATGAAGGCGCAGTGTTTAAATAGGCCCAGATTCTCCAAATCCTTCCTTGAAGCTGGCTTGCCTTGCCTTTTTTCTGACCAGGGAAAAAAGCATGGTTTTAAAAATGCACAGTTTTTCTCCATTGGAAACAATTCTGAATATTTTCCACCTGGAAATGCATCTGTACAAATAGGTTCTTCTTATATTTATATCCCACCTTCTTTCCTTCCAAGGAACTCAAGGCAGCTTATATAGATCTTTTCTTCTTAATCTTATCCTCCCAACAACAGCCCTGTGAGGTAGTTTGGGCTGAGAGTCTGGGACTGGCTCAAAGTCACCCACTGACCTCCTTGGCTGAGTGGGCACTCAAACCCGGACCGTCTGAGTCCCAGTCCCATGTTCTTCACCACTACACCACACTGGCTCTCATTAACATAAGGTTCTCCTCCGTTCCATTTTATTCTCACAACAACAACCCTGTGAGGTAGGTTCAGACTGACCATTCATGACTGGCCCAAAGTCACCCACTGAGCTGTGGGGACTAGAGCCCCGATTTACTGTGCCCCAGTCTGGCGCTCTCACCGCTTCATCATAGTGTGACTCTTCAGATGGAGCTGGCGAGATTTCACAAGTGAGCACTTGCGAATGCTGGCTGGGGAAATCCCAGGATCTCCTCCTTGCTCACATCTGCCCAAATGGAGGTGAGGGACACAGTCTTCTGCACTCACTCTGGTGTTCTGTGAGCAGGAAAACGACAGAAATGCCACCCGGGAGTGGTTTGCACACGCTTGTCCCTGCAAGACACGTGTGAATGACTCGTGCACAGCCTCCCCTGCCTCACAGGACCCCTCCATGCGGCACAGACAAGGTGGCACAGACTCCTCTCGGCCAGGGCTCCTTCCTGGGGGGGGGGGGGACGAGGCGGCTTTGAGGGGCTGTGGGGCCCGCTTTTGGCACGGTGGGGCCAGCCGGGGGCACTTTCCTGCCAGACGGTGTCCAGTCCGATTCCACATGCCAAAGCCAGCGGGCCCTGCTGCAGAGCCTTTCCCCAAAGTAGGTATGAGTCTGAGGCAGTCCCACTCCTGCCCCCAGACTAGCTTGGGAGTCAGGTGGCTGAGGGCCCCAAACCAGAGCCTGCAGCCATAATTGGCAACCGGCCCGGCACAAGGCGGAGAAGGGGCAGGCCTGGCGATGCCGTTCCACCAAGTTCTTTTTTCTTTCAGAAAAATCCTGCATCCTGGTGTTCTGCTTGTTTTCGTTTTGCTTTTCTGGTTGTTGGGGGACGGGGGGAGCCAAAAGCATCTGTAGGGGCTGGTTGACCTGACGGGTTCTCGCTGCTGAACCCAGCCTCACCGTGAAGATGCCGAGCATGAATATCTGGGGAAGCGAAAGGAAGCTTCTTGTAGGAAGTTTGCAAAAGGTCATTGCTGGGAAACAGCTGGTAGGCCTACCTTCCCATAGCTGAACAGCTTTCCCCTGAGCTGTGTGTGATTGGAACACCCATGATCCCCAGCCAGTGGTCATTGGGTGTTACTATCCAACACAGATGGAGGGTGCCCATTTAGGAAGGCTGTGCTGGAGTGCTTCCCCTCTGTCTGTCCCACAGTTGTCCCCAGGCCAACCTGCGTTCTTCCAGCACATGGGTCCTCAAACTTCAGTCCAGGGGACGGATCCGGCCCTTCATGCCCTTTATCTGGCCCGCCGCCGCCCGCCTGCACGCTCATCGTGCACGAGAGGCAGTGGCTTGCTCGCTCGGAGATGGTTTTGGGCTTACTGGGAGATCTCTGAGCGAGCGAGTCACCGCCGTGCGCCCCCAGTGCCACCTCGCGCGGAGCCGACGACGCCTCACCAGCCCGTGCGTGTAGCCGCCGCCTTTCAACTGGCCCCCTATTGAAAAAGTTTGAGGACCCCCATTCTAACATCTTGAAAACCTACCAAGTCTGTTTGGTGAGATAATAACCTGACCCAGGAAATGAGTCAAAGTAACAGGGTCTGGGTTCAGACATTACAACCCACACTCAAGGCTTGAACTGTGGGTTGCTGCTCAAACACAGGTTGTCATGTTGTCTAAACCCAACCAAAAGAACAAACCATGGTGAACAACCCACAGTTCACAACCCAGCAACAAACAATTCAGGCAACAGCAGCCCAAATTTAAGCCACCCCTAATCCTTGAGTGCGGTTTATCTTGCTAGCCAAACCTACTCATTGTCTGCATTATTATCTCTATTATTACATTGCATTTCTATACCCCCTGTAGCTGCATCTCTCTGGGTGGTTCATAACATTCAAGATTCCCATCCAGATTTCAGCCACGCCTAGACCTGCTTAGCTTCCAAGATTAGGCAAGGTCAGGCCCTTCAGGCTATATGGAAGCTTATTCCACCCATCTGAAAATGAAACCTTTTAATCCCTGCAGTGGAACTTCTTTCCCTCGAACAGAGAGTGCGAAAGAGACAACAGAAATAGATCACCTTTGGGGTGTTGTTGAGCTCTGACTCCCATTCTCACTGGCCTGCCTAGTCAGTGGTTGGGATGATAGGAGTTGTAGTCCCAGCACGTCCAGAGGACTAGCATTGCCCCAGCTGTGCCCTTCATGGTGTGCATTTAATACATTAGGTGAGATTCTGTTTATGTTTAGGTAGAGAAGTCCTACCATCTCATGCATGTTTCAACAGAAAAAGGCATATAATCCTAGGCATGCCAGACAGAAAAAAAGCCCCATAGTTCCCAGCACTCCCCAGCACATGTCATGAGTTACAGGATCAATCAATCAATCAAAATCTAGCAATTTGTTTTTTAGACAAATATGTCAAGGACACCATGACATGTTGCATGAAGGAAAAGTTGAGCTTGACTCCCCCTAGAAAAATATACCTCCCAGTCAAGAAAGGCCCATGTGATACATTGCTATGTTAGCAGATGAATTGAAGAAGAAACCTCACAAATTTAGCCGTTATGGACCCATCAAATTTAGCCATATGGGCAGGGGGAGAATCCCAAATCCACAGTCCAGAAATGCCTTTATTGGAACCAGCCTAAATTCCACAAATGCATGCAAGTGCTTGAGTTTTCTAGAATGTACCTAAACATACATAAGATTGAATTTAGGTTGCGCCCTGCCTCCAAAGACTTCAAGATGGCAAATGCCATTTTCTGTCTTCTGCCCGCAGAGGCCTCGGGTTATGCCCAGAGAAAGTTTGAGTGCCAAAATTTCAGTCCGGTAAGGGAGTAAACGCATAGGACTTACCCAAGTGCCAGCAGAGGTTAGCTCACTCCAATTTCAAGAGCTCAGCAATTGACAAAATCCTCAGCCCTCAGAGGAGATCCTCCCAGAACAGGGCATCAAACAGAGACACAGGAGACTAAGGTCACTCCTGTGAGCTTTCCGTTCATTTTGTTTGTTCCCTTTCTGTACCACCCAAGAGCCTAAATCCTAAAAACACATTATAAAAAGCACCATTTGCATACAAATATGCTGCACAAGAAGAGAAATGCATGCATCAAAAACAACTTTAAACTCTCAACAAGAAAAGAATCAGGACCTGATTAAAATCTCCTGCTGTCAAACACTTGAGAGAAAAAGCAGGTCTGACCCTGAGGTTGGGAAGAGAGCGACGTTGGCTCCAAACAGGCCACATCAATGTGCTCATTCCGCAACTGGGGGCGACCACCGGGAAGTCCCCTCTCCATCAACACTGCTTTCCATGCCTCCCTCAGAGGAGGCTCCTGGCCTGAGGTGCTGAACACCAGGGCAGGGGTAAATTTAAGGAAGTGACTTGCTCTAGTGCCCAGCTTCCCCAGCTTGGGGCGCTCCAAATATTTTGGACTACAAATCCCAGCTGGGGGTCTGCAGGGGTGAAAGGTGTAGTCCAGGATGATCTGGAAGGTCCCAGGCTGCAGAAATCTGGCTGTCTTCCCTGTGCTTAAAGCTCACTGGCAGCACAGTTCAGCTCTCAGGACTTGGGGGAAGCCCGCCACGCTTCCAAGCTGGCCCTCCGGAGTGCGCCAAGCCAAGAGCAGACCTCCAAGCATAAACCCACATTCCTTTTTGAATGACTGTGGGTGGTACAATTCTGCAAGCCATTCTTAATTTTTATTTTTAATTCCAGTCTGTGTTTTTCTTTAGCCTCCCGTTCGAAATATGGTAATATAAACATTCCATTTTTTTGCTCTGCAGAAGTGGGGAAGTGAAATGTACTGTTGGAATCCCCGTTTTTCTTTCCAGTTTCTTCCCTTTCGTAATGTACAGAAAT